TGCTAATAGGACTATGCTGCTAACAGAACTGCACTGCTAACAGGACCATTGCTAAGGGAACCTCACTGCTAACAGAACCACTCTGATAATAGGACTATGCCGCTAACAGAACCACATTGCTAACAGAACCGCACTGCTAAATGGGACCATGTTGCTAAGAGAACCTCACTGCTAACAGAACCACTCTGCTAATAGGACTATGCTGCTAACAGAACCATGTTACTAGCAGAACAACACTGCCAACAGTACCGTGCTGCTAACGGGACCATGTTGCTAACAGTAAAATTGTTTTTATAACACTATTTTTTATTGTAATTGCTTTTTATTGCTGTATATTGTCTATACTATAAGTTGTATGTCTAAAACAGGTACTTGTTTGTGCTGATTCACTCTACTTGCACTGTTGTATTCTACCGTGTTGTTTATTTTTTTATTTTGGAACTTGTAGATGTATTTCTTTTTCACTTTTTGATGCTTTGTTTTGTACTTTTGTTGCATGCTTGGTATTTCTTGGTTGCTTGTTTTTTGTTGTTGTTTTTGCGAGTCAAGAGATTCATTGCATTGTTGACCTTGTGTTGACCTGCACATGACAAATAATCAGTAAACTAAACTGTTGAAGAAGGTCAAAACACCTATTTAACTGTAAAAACAAAAAAATGGAGAAACTAAAAGTTTTATAAATATTGAGCTAACACACTCTGAGCATTAACTGTTGAGAACAACCATGTTTGCCTGTTAGCAAAATGTTCAAAATTAGTGTGGTAGTAGCTGAGAGTGATTAGCAACACTGCAGTGTGGTCACCATGTTGTCAAACCTTCATGTTTCCAGGTTAACAAGTAGTTACAACATTAAATATTTGAAATACAGCTTTGCTGTTTCAGCTCTGGGTTGCTTGGTCACATTTCCACAACAGGAAGTGACGGATGGAAACTTTAAACATTTTGGTGTGAAATTATTTTACTTCCTTTTCCTCTTTTATGACAACCCCCATTTAAAATTGACCCGAGGCTCTTTTCCCTCTTTCATCAGTCTTCATCACTTTAACACACAAACTCTTTTTTTCAGCATCAAAAGTAATTTCTTACTTTTAGTCGGTCTTTTGCTATTTTTAGCTTCTTGTTAGCGTTTTACTACCTTTAGCTTTGTGCTAGTCTTTTGCTGCTTCTGGCTTTTAGCCAGTCTTTTGCTACTTTAGATTTTAGCTCGTTTTTAACATTTGGCTGCTTTTTGTTAGCGGGTTCTACTTTTAGCTACTGTTTTGGTATTTTCAGCTTTTACCTACTATTCTGCTACTTCCAGCTTTCAGCAAGCTTGCTAGATTTAACAAGTGTTTTGCTACATTTAGCTTTTTATCAGCCCTTTGCTACTTTTGGCTTCTAGTTAGCCTTTTGCTGCTTTTATTTTGTGTTTTACTACTTTTAGCTTTGCACTAGCCTTCTACTGCTTCTGGCATCTAGCCAGTCTTTTGCTATTTTTAGCTTCTTGTTGGTCTTTTGCTACTTGTATTTTTAGCTAGTTTTTTACATTTGTCTGCTTTTTATTAGCTTTTTCTATTTTTAGCTACTGTTTTGGTATTTTCAGCTTTTAGCTACCATTTTGTTACTTCCAGCTTTCAGTAAGCTTGCTATTTTAGCAAGTATTTAGCTACTTTCAGCTTTTTATCAGCCCTTTGCTGCTTTTGACTTCTAGTTAGCCTTTTGCTGGGTTTATTTTATGTTTTACTACTTTTAGCTTTTGAGCTAGCCTTTTGTTGCTTTTACATTTCAGTTAGTATTTGTTATATTTAGCTAGCTAGCTTTTTGCTACTTTTGTCCAAAGTGTTTTACTTGACCTATGCTTTTAGCTAGCGCTTAGTTCCATCTTTAGCTATAATGACTCAGTTCCAACAGTTTCAGAAAACTTCAGCTGACATTTAGCTGACATTTAGCTGACATTAAGCGTTCACTCTGTGTTTTAGCAGAAACTGAAGTCCTGTCGTTTTAGTTTTTTTACAACGAGCTGAACTTTTTTTAACAACTTCTCATCCTTTGGTCTAAAAGTTGATGTGGAAACTGCAGACTTTGCACTTCTGAGCTGCGGACCACGAAGGCCACACTGATGGGAAAGTGAGCTGGTTCGAAACCAAAAGAACTTCCTGCAACGCGTCAAAAACGAAACTGTAAGAGGAGTGAATCTAACCGGACCCTTTCTGGGCCGCCTGCCAGTGAGGGACACTCTGGACATGTCTCCTGTCCATCACAGGGACACGTAGAGACAAACATTCCCCAACAGAGACACGTTAGTTATCAATAAACCCATTGTGATGTTTTTGGACACTGGAAAGAAACTGGAGTACCAGAGAAACACAAAGGGACCCTGAACTGGGAGGCGAACCAGAGATCGTCTTGCTGAGAGGCGACAACTCTAACCACTGCGCCACCGTGCCGCCCTGCTCGTTCATTAAACCTCTCCTTGTGGGGATTTTCTATAAACCTCCCGTCGTGTTTTTAATCCTTCCTGTCAGTCTCCACTGCTGCTCTCCGAGGGAACTTTGTGTCTAATCCTGATTCTTGATTAAGGATTATATAATCTGAGACCTTTGCGTCTCTGCGTTAGAACCCCAGAGGGGGGAGAAGGAACCGCCCACGCGTCCCTCCACTCCCCCCTTGCCTGAGAGCTGCAGATAGCTGTCAAACTTTCATTTGAATACCTGTAGGAGCTGCGCTGCACGCCATGCAAATGTGCCTCTCTCGTCTGTGGACCCATTCATCCGGTCCTCTTCACCTCGACCTGAACCTGGGTCTGGACCGGGCTTTGTAAAAGCCTCTTATTGTTGCTTCTGTACTGCTGAACCTCAAGAAGCGCTGCTGAGAGAAAGAAACAAAGACGGGAACAGCTGTGGGGCCGTCAGCCAGTGAAACCAAGAGCTGACGTGTTCTAGTTCCTCTTTACGCCGCCTCACATCAAACTTCCTCCTCTGGGTCCAGAACCTCGCTGCTCCACCGCCCCGTCAGCATCTGCAGCCCGAACCTGAAGGGTTAGGAAGGGATGGACGCCGCCACCGAGAAATGAGGAGCACTCCTCCACGTCACCTGAGCCCAGAAGATCATTCAGAACCACGAAAACGACCTGCGACCCCGTGACGGATTCAAGGCCGGTAAGTGTCGTGTTCTGTCCGGATGAGAGGAGGCCAAACTGCCGGGAGGTAAAAATAAGACAGGAAGTGCAGCGAAGGGGAAAGTTGGGTTTGACCTGCAAGAAATGAGTGTTTTATGGAGGAGGATGAGTTCCAGAGAAGAGGACCTCAAAGGTCTCTGAGGTGACCCTTCAAAATAAAATGAAAATTTTACATTTGACTCCATTTTCTGGTCCGGTTATTTTTAGTCTGCCAGTACCGGTAAAACCAGAAGCCGCTCCAGTTTCCGTTCTGCCTTCTCGTGGGTACATAAAACTTATTTTCTTTCTCATTTTTAATGAGCTCCAACAACATCGTAACGCCACAAATGAAATCCTGTAAAAGCGTCGGAGGTGTGAATTATTTTTTTATTGTTATTTTAGTGATCCTGAGGAGGCGTCACGCAGAAATGACCAGAATTACATCACGACTAAAGCGCGGCGCCGACGCCTGAACCTAAAGGTCCCAAACAGCTTCAAAGTCCAGGCGGTGAAACTTTTATTAGAATAATCCGCTGGAACTAATGCAGGTAGACGTGAGACAGATTTATAAAATATATTTGTAAGGAAACAACACACTTATTGCTTCTACGGCTGTGGGCGATCATGTAATTACCCATGTGTGCCAACGGGTTTTATTGTCTGTCTGTTAGCAAAATATCTCATGAACGAGTGTACTGATTTTAATGAAACTCTCAGGAAATAACCACTGGATGTACCACTTCAGCTCATTAACATTTGAAGTAAGCTTGATTCAAAATGGCCGCCACAGCTAATCAGAGTTTGCTAACACAAACACACCTATAACTCAGTAATTTTACAGATGTTGAAGTCAAATTCGGCGTGGTAGTAGCTAAACGTCTTCCTCAACACGTACACCAATCACCAACAGAGAAGCAAGATGTTTGTTTAAAACTTAGGCATCAATCGTTGATGTCAACCCTGTCTGTTAGCAAAATATCTCTGGAACAATTTCACAAATTTTAGTGAAACTCTCAGAGAGCAATCATTGAGTGTACGGCTATAACTGGTTAGCATTTGGAGCTAGCTTCACTCAAGATGGCTGCCACAGCTGATTAATCGTAGCCAACATGAACACGGTTATAACTCTGTCAGTTTTACAGATATTGAGATAAAACATGGTGTGGTAGTAGCTGAAAGTCATCCTCAACACATACTCTGAGCAGCAATAGGTTGCACACGATCTTTGTTTGAAACGCTGTTGAATAATGAGGCGGGCGATATGCATTCTGTCCAGGAAGGCTCGCTTTACATTATTTTTACACACTCATGAACTAATGACTAATGTAAAGAAAAAGCATTAAATATTTCCATCAGCTGAAATATAATTTAATTTGTTATTTTTGCCTTGAAGCTCTGCTCCAACTTATCTGAATGAACCTTTAGGAAACTGAACGTTTTGCTATAATCATCATTTATGCAGACGATGTTGACGTTTATTTGTCCTCAGTGAACTCGTATCAGAACAGAGTCGTCACAAACGCGTCAGATTAGAAAACTATTTTCAAATGACAGATTTCAGGTATTTCTGCTGAAGCTGAACCGCCGTGTGATCCTTTTTGCAAACAGCTGCTCACTTTTCATCACAACTTTAAATTTGGGAAGTTTAAACCAAATGTTTAAGCCTTTCACAACTTCAGCAACTCATTTGCACCTGAACGAGCTTTTTACTCCGAGGACTGAATTTCCATGAAGGCCCAGTTTATCCATCCATTTTCTTTACCCGTTTATTCCATTTTGGGTCACGGGGGTCACTGGTGCCCATGTCCAGCAATCACTGTGCGAGGGGCGGGGTACACCCTGGACAGGTCTCCAGTCCATCACAGGGACACATAGAGACAAACAACCATTCACTCTCTCACTCACACCTAGGGACAATTTAGAGTTACCAATCAGACTAACATGCATGTTTTTGGTCTGTGGGAGGAAACTGGAGTTCCCGGAGAAAACCCACGCATGCACGGAGAGAACATGCAAACTCCACTCAGAAAGGCCCCCGGACCGAGGCTTGAACCAGGGACCTGCTCGCTGAGAGGCAGCAGCTCTACCAGTTGCGCCACCGTGCTACCAGGCCCAGTTTAGTTCCAGCCAAAACATCTCCGCGCAATGCAAATCAGTCTCAGGTTAGATCTACTCGGACACGTTCAGCTCAGGTCTGCAGAATGTAAAGAATGAGTCCATGTTGAGTTTGGAGCCTGAATCCGACGACAGATCACGTCTCAGCTTTAGTTGATTCATCCAAACTCCAAACTTCTGCAGAACATTTAGGCGACGACTCCCTTGGGACACAACGCAGGAATAATTCATGGTGTGCTCCATGATGACGGCTGCTTTTGGCCCCAGATGGAGATGTTTTCGGCTGCGAGCTGCTGCCGGCTGTTTGCCTCAAGCCACAACAACATCACCGGCCGCCAGGTGGGGAGGGAAAGGAGGAAAGGAACAAAGCTGCTTTATTTCATTTAGTGACTCGTCAACAAGGAAGGAGTTACAACTTTTCAGCTTTTCCCTCTCAGAGCATCCCAGTTTTTATTTGCCACTGTTAAATCCTGAGCTCTCCATTTACGTGTTCTTTAGCCTTTCTGCAACCAGCTCAATGATCAAGCCCCAGTTCAGTTAGTATGTAAAAACTGAGCGTATCATCTAATTGGACAGGTAATTAGGAAACTTCAGACTTACCTGAAGTGTGATTTTTAATGTTACACCTTTAAAATGTTTAAGAAAAATGAAAATTCACTTGTGCTTGGCTACAGACTCGTGGTGGCTAAAGTTAGCGCTGACTGCTAATGAGCATTTTTAGGAAGTGGATATGATGACTTGTTAAAGGGAAAGTAAAATATTCTTCCTCCTAAAAAATGTATTCATAAGCAAAAAGAAAACACACTTTTTTTGTATTTTTTGTAACATCAGTCTTGGTTTGTCCGTTGTGACGTATAGGCTTGTGATGGCTAAAGTTAGCTGCGGAAAATGCTAAAATATATTAGAAACACTTAATAGTTTTTAATGCATCTGTGTTAGCGTATGAAAATGGAAATAAAGAATAGCTATTTTTACAAAGACAACAAAAAATATCCATTTTAAGGTTGATTTTTTTCTATTTAGCTTTGTTTTTTGTTGTTGTTTTTTTTTGGCTAGCTGCGAGGAATGCTAACACTAAGATTTTTAATTTCTTTCAAAAGTGAGGAAGTTAACATTTAAAAGTGGTAATAACTCATTATTTTAGTTCTATGAAAGACTTACACAAAAAAATAAATAAAACTATTTCATTTTATTGCCACTGCTTCTTTTTTGTTAAGGCTGTTGTAACAGCTAAAGCTAGCTAAATAGAATGCTAACTTAGACTTTTACTTATTTTCAAAAGTAGCTAAGTTTACTTGTAAAAGTGGAAATATGTCTATTTTAAAAAGAAAATCTTGGGAAAAGCAAACATCAAATACCCAGTTGTTGTTGTTTTATACCTGTAACACTTGGTTTTTTCTGGTATAGCTTTAAGCTTGGGCGGCTAAAGCTAACAGTGCATAATGCTAATTTCTTTGCCACTTTTATAACACTTTTGGTGTTCCAGAATTGTGCCGTTCAAGGTGGCTGCATGTTGAAGTAGCTCTGTTATAGTCATTGAGCTTTTGAAAACTTTAATTACTAATGTTTCTGGATTTAAATTACTTTTTTTTTTTAATGATTACTTCCTCTGGTATCAGATGCTGTGCCGCTGGATGAATTTTTACTGAAACCTTTTTTACTTTTGGACATTTGTTATGATGCGTAACCATGGCAACAAGGTGGTTTTCTACAACTGGGAGTGGCTGATTAACATCTCAAATGGTCAAATAAGACCTCAGCTACAGCCCCAAATCCCAAATGAGTTGAAAAGGAGGTGCCGCAGATGCATTACCGTCTACCTGGAGGCTGTGCTCGATTGCCTGATCACTGAGATCTTGGAAGTAGTGGGAAACACAGCTCATGACAGCAGGAGGACTGAGATCATCCCCTAGCACCTGCAGTTAAGTCCGCAATAACGAGGCAGGCTGCTGGGAGAAATGGCCATCGCTTGGGGAGGAGTTCTGCCCGGCATTCAGGCAGTCCTGCTGCACAAGAGGACGAGAGGTCTGCTGGGTTTGGGTGGATGGATTGGCATCTGCAGCCAGTTTCTTCAGATCTGTTATGGGACGGACTGCTACAAGAGATCCTTCCTGCCCAAAACTATCAGCATCTAGAACAACTCTAATGAAACCAGGATGAGCTACAACAACAATTAATTTCTTTTGGGATTAATGAAGTATTTTTGAATTTGAGTTTGAACTTATTCCTCTTTTTTACTTGTTAAGCACAAGAACACTTAAATTGTTTTGAAGCAGCTAATTCAATAAAGTCTTAATATTTGTGCAGTTTTGGTTAATATAGGCTAATAATCTCTTGTAATTGGTTAGCGTGACTTTGTGTAGGTATATTAGAATCAGAATGCTTTTATTGTCATTGCACAAGAAACAATGAAATTACATTTCAGTACAGCCATCCAGGTAGACAGGTGACAGAGGCTGCAGCTGTCATAAAGGCAAGTCATCTTAAATGGACTTGTTCTTTTGTGCTTCGTACACAAGCTAAGCTAACCAACTGCTAGCTGGAACTTATTTCAGAAAGTTGAAAAGATTGATTTGAAGAGATTAAAAGAAAGAAAAGAGAAAGGAGCAAAATAAGTGTAGAAGTAAACACGTGCACATTGATTTGTCTTTCAAATCCCCGGTATAAATAAAAGAGCATTAAAGTTGCCTTGAGCGTGTTCTTTGTTCCAACATGGAATCTATTTTCATGTATTTATGTATGCAAATCAGGAGCCAACTGTGACAATACACTTCTAAAAAACAGAAAATATTAGGATTTTCCAACTAGGCTTCTGTCACTTAACTGTTTATTTTAATACACTTAAATTGTCATTTATAGTCCTTCTGCAGTTTAGCAGGCTGCGTAACATTTTATGGTACTTACAATTTTCCAATCTTAAAAGTTTGAGCCTGTTTTTAGACTGTGCTGTAATCAGATCTGTTGGTGCAAAGGCTACAGATGCTACACCTGAAAGCAGTCATAGGGATCTCCAGACACCTTTCCCTCCACTGCTTTAACTTTCCAGTGTTGTGGCAAAAAGACCCAGCTTGTTGACTTTTAATCATTTATTGCAAAAGTTCCAAGTTCAAGTATCTTTATTATCCCTGAGGGACAATTAGTTTCACAGTCAGTACAGATTTAAAACATGCATACCACGCAAAACATTACGGCATTAAAATAATACGGAAGACATCAATGTTCATTGAGAATCCTGATCACTCCAGGGATGAATGAGTTTTTTCACCTTCAAGAAAGGTCAAGCAGAACATCCCAGAGATGAGACAGATCTGAGCGGTAGAATCCATCTGAGCTCAAATCGTCAGAGAGCACTCGTTTGAACGAAGCTTATAGGTAAGACAAAACAGTCTCGTTGTAACTGGATATACTCGATACACCCAGCAAGGACATCGCAAAGTCATTATTTGATCAGTAACAGCATCCAGCACTTCGCAATGGGATTTGTATTGCATTAGTATTATTTCCCTTAAGGTAATCATCCATCAATCCATTAACTTCCATTTGTGATGGAGTTGGGTCAAGGAAGGCAGCAGCTTGAGCAGGGAGACCCAGACATTTCCTTCAGCCACCTCTTGTGGGAGAATTTCAAGGCATTCCCAGATCAGCCAAGAAATAGAATCTCTCCAGGGTGGGTGTTCCCCAGGGTCTCCCCTCAATGTGAATTGCCCAGAAAACCTTCCTAGAGAGGTGTTCAGGTACCAGATGCCTGAACCGCCTCAACTGGTTCCTCTCAATGTGGTGGAGCAGCGGCCCTACGCTAAGTCTCTCCCAGACTACTGAAGTCCTCCGTCTATCTCTACGAGAGAGTCCAGATATCCAGCAATGTTGCAAAGGTGTGTTTATCAAGATAGCCCAGAAACAGCCGGAGCCTTGAGGGACTTATGGCATGTCTCGTGCACTCTCAGGGCCCTGACGCTGCGGAGCTTTTTAACTACCTCAGCAACCTCAATCCCAGTTTTGGACATTCCAACTCCAAAGCCCCCAACTCAGCTTCCCCCATATATAAACCATGGGATTTGAAAAGTTCTCAAAGTATTTCTTCCGCCACTTAAGGACATCAATGTTTGACATTAACAGCACCCCACCACTTAACACAGTGTTGGTAATTTTTTGCTTTCCTCTAAATGAAAAGTTTTTTAGTTTTACTTTGTTTTCTGCATCCATGTTGGGTCCATTGATAACAAATGTAAATGCTTGTAAATGTAACACTTGTAAATGCTTGTAGGTTTGCTAATGTTAGCTTTTATGTTTGCTAATGTTAGCTTGTAGGTTCGCTAGTATTAGCTGGTAGGTTTTAGTTTGTAGGTTTGCGAATGTTAGCTTGCAGGTGGGCTAATGTTAGCTTGTTGATTGGGGACTGCCGTGCAAATGCATGGCAGGCACCTATTATTCTACAGCACCTATTATTCTACACCTTGGAAGTGAGTCTACATTTTTATCTCCGTTAATGCGGCCCGAACCACAATGTCTACCCCCACAAAAGTTATATCAAGACGACTGGCTCGACCCCATGATGTGTGCTATTACTTTTATTGGCATTTCAAGTTACCATGGCGAAGTAATTTGCAAACAAAGATGCAATATTTCGCCAACTCCAGGAACTAGTTGGTGACTGCCCACTTATTATTCTACGCCTGAAAAACATATCTTTTTCAACTTTAATGCAACCCAAACCGCAGAGTGGACCCCTACAAAAGTTATATCCAAACGACCGGCCCGGCCCCGAGATGTGTACTATTAATTTTATTGGCAATTGGCGTTACCATGGCAACATATTTTGCTAACGAAAATGACAAATTTCCCATAGGAAATGAAGAGGAGAAAACTTTTTTAAATAACTGAGTAATGTCAGGAGCCATTTTAGTTCAACATGCATGGAAGGCACCTATTATCACCTATTATTACTATTATTAATTAGTTAAAAAAATAACATAACTGATTAATGATTCATTTTAATAATTACAAATAATAACACTAATAATTAATATTAATAATTTATATTTAATATTACTTATTAATATCAATATTATTATCAAATATCTTAGTAGTTTATATAATTAATAAATCAATGATATAATAATAATTAATTATTAGTAATTATTAATAATATTTATTATTAATTCTACTTTAATAATAAATAGGCAGTCCCCATCAAAGTTTCTCCAGGAACTTTCTAGTTTGCTAATGTTAGCTTGTAGATTTGCTAAAGCTTGCAGGTGTGCTAATGTTAGCTTGCAGGTGTGCTAATGTTAGCTTGTAGATTTTCTAATGTTAGCTTGTAGATTTTCTAATGTTAGCTTGTAGATTTGCAAATGTTACCTTGTAGATTTGCTAATGTTAGCTTGCAGGTTTTCTAATATTAGTTTGCAGGTGTGCTAATGTTAGCTTGTAGATTTGCTAATGTTAGCTTGCAGGTGTGCTAATGTTAGCTTGTTGATTTGCTAATTTTAGCTTGCATGTGTGCTAATGTTAGCTTGTAGATTTGCTAATGTTAGCTTGCAGGTGTGCTAATATTAGCTTGTTGATTTGCTAATGTTAGCTTGCAGGTGTGCTAATGTTAGCGTGTTGATTTGCTAATGTTAGCTTGTTGATTTGCTAATGTTAGCTTGTTGATTTGCTAATATTAGCTTGCAGGTGTGCTAATGTTAGCTTGTTGATTTGTTAATGTTAGCTTGTTGATTTGCTAATATTAGCTTGCAGGTGTGCTAATGTTAGCGTGTTGATTTGCTAATGTTAGCTTGTTGATTTGCTAATGTTAGCTTGTTGATTTGCTAATATTAGCTTGCAGATGTGCTAATGTTAGCTTGTTGATTCGCTAATGTTAGCTTGTTGATTTGCTAATATTAGCTTGCAGGTGTGCTAATGTTAGCGTGTTGATTTGCTAATGTTAGCTTGCAGGTGTGCTAATGTTAGCGTGTTGATTTGCTAATGTTAGCTTGTTGATTTGCTAATGTTAGCTTGTTGATTTGCTAATATTAGCTTGTTGATTTGCTAATATTAGCTTGTTGATTTGCTAATGTTAGCTTGTTGATTTGCTAATGTTAGCTTGTTGATTTGCTAATATTAGCTTGCAGGTGTGCTAATGTTAGCTTGTTGATTTGCTAATATTAGCTTGCAGGTGTGCTAATGTTAGCTTGTTGATTTGCTAATATTAGCTTGCAGGTGTGCTAATATTAGCTTGTTGATTTGCTAATGTTAGCTTGTAGGTGTGCTAATGTTAGCTTGTAGGTTTGCCTGTATGTGAAAATTTACTACCACTGACTCAAGATTACAAAAGATGCTCAAACAGAAGTGGTCAATTTTCAAAATAAAAATAATTCTGTGTATATAAAAACATTTATGCGGATTTTTTTAATTTTTTATTATTTATTTTATTTTTGTGTGGTCCAGTACCAATTCATTCGTGGACCGGTACCAGTCCTTGGATTAGAGGTTGGGGATCTGAGCCTTTACAGAGGAAACATCCTACTGTTAGCTCAAACAGAATCATTAGTATTAAATCTTTTATTTAAAAAAAAAATGTTTTTTTTCTTGGTGGTTTGGGATTTTACAACTATCACAGCTCCCTTTCTTTATTTATTTTCTTTTTTTACAAGAAGGACTTATGCGAGACATTAAAAATCAAACCGTGTTCTGAAACCTACATATTAACTTTCTGACCCACATTTAAGCCAATTTCCTTTTTTCTAAGTTAATCATTCATAACATCTGGTTTGGAGCTGTTTTATGTTTCCAAGAGGAGAAAATGTATTTCAGTTCATCCTTTATGATTAATCCTCTAACAACTGAACTTTACAACTAAATAATATAAAATATAAGTTTTATTGAATAGAGAATTTTTTGAGTCATTGACCCTCATGAAAAGCATTTTCTAATTTTTTGTTGCCGACCACTGACAAGTGGTAGAAGATGGAGATGTTTCCTAACTTTTAACTTTAGGCTCATCTGGCAAAGGTTTCCCAAATTTTACACAGAAACACATTCTGCTTACGCTGCATATTTAGCTCCTTGCACCATGAAAAGTGAGCAAAAGTATATTATTGTGTGTTTGTTCATTCTCTGAATATTGGTGTGGTAGTAGCTGAGCGTCATCCTGAACACATACTCTGAGCACCAACAGGAGATCGTTTCAAACATTGGCCTTTAAGATGAAAATGTTTCCAGATTTGTTTTTGTTGTGACCCTAACCAGGCATGTGATGTAAAGTCACCGAGGTGTTTCTGCTGTTCTGTCCTGCAGACGGCACCATGGGCTGCGTCGGCTCCAAGAAGGAGCAGGAGGCTGTCGGCAAGGCGGTGGAAAACGGCGAGCAGCAGAGCAAAACGCAGACGGCGCATTACGTCAAAGACCCCACATCTGGATCCAAATCTGTAAGAGAGCACAAGGAAACTAGAAAGTTCCTGGAGAAACTTTGACTGGGACTGCCTATTTATTATTAAAGTAGAATTAATAATAAATATTATTAATAATATTAATAATTAATATATCATTGATTTATTAATTATATAAACTATTAATATATTTGGTAATAATATTGATATTCATAGGTAATATTAAATATAAATTTTTAATATTAATAATTATTAGTGTTATTATTTGTAATTATTAAAATGAATCATTAATCATTTATGTTTTTTTTAACTAATTAATAATAATAATAATAGGTGATAATAGGTGCCTTCCATGCATGTTGAACCAAAATGGCTCCCGACATTACTCAGTTTCTTTGAAAAGTTTTCTCCTTTTCATTTCCTATGGGAAATTTGTCATTGTAGTTAGCAAAATATGTTGCCATGGTAACGCCAATTGCCAATAAAATTAATAGCACACATCTCGGGGCCGGGCCGGTCGTTTGGATATAACTTTTGTGGGGGTCCACTTTGCGGTTTGGGTCGCATTAAAGTTGAAAAAGATACGTTTTTCAGGTGTAGAATAATAAGTGGGCAGTCACCAACTAGTTCCTGGAGCTGGTGAAATATTGCGTCTTTGTTTGCAAATTACTTCGCCATGGTAACTTGAAATACCAATAAAAGTAATTGCACACATCATGGGGTCGAGCCAGTCGTCTTGATATAACTTTTGTGGGGGTAGACATTGTGGTTTGGACCGCATTAACGGAGATAGAAATGTAGACACACTTCCAGGGTGTAGAATAATAGGTGCCTGCCATGCATTTGCATGGCAGGCACCTATTGAGTTATTTTAGCTGTTCATAATTTTAGTTTTTATAGTTTATTAAATAAAAGTTCCCCATAGAAATACACTGAGGTCTACTTCATCAAAATGTTCTGTTTTTAATCTGAAGTCTTCTTAAGCTAGTCTTAACATATAGCTAACCTTAGCTACTTTGAGCATTTGGTTAGTTTTTCACAGCCTTTAGTGTTTAGCAAAGATTTCACCACTTTTAGCTTTCAGCTACACTTTTGACACTTTTAGCCATTAGATAGCCTTTTGTCACCTTTAGCCTTGAGCTACTTTTTTGCCACCTTTAGCAA